CATCTTACAGTTAATATTAAGCAACACACAACAAATACAAGCTGCAATGCCTGCACAATTCAAAAATATAATTGAGAGGTTAAAATAAGCAAAATAAGCAAAACCTACTTTAGTATATGCATCAGATCAATCTCTAAAACTGCAGAGAAGACACAACTGAATGAAATGTAGTAGAAATGCAAAAAAATGGTTCTTGTCTTCGGTGACTGGTATATAGGCACCCAATATGCCTTTCAGGGGTGGGTAAGGGGGACATTCCTTAAGTATGAGGACACTCCAAGCAAGGTCTCTGATAACAATGTCAAGGTTCAAGCACAAATGTATAGAAGGAAATGGTCTTTAAGATACTGTGGCCCCAAGCTGTGAAAGGATTTCTAAGCAACACCAGCATTTTGAACTAGGCCAAGGAACAAGCTGCAGATGAACCATGGCACAATGCAATTACAGGTAGTCCTCGACTTAGAACCATTTATTTAGCGACCATCTGAATTACTCCGAAAAAAATGACATGACTGCTTTTTACACTTAAGACCATTGCAACATCCCTGTGGTTACATGATCCAAATTCAGATGCTTGGCAACTGACTCATATTTATAATAGTTTCAGTGAGTGTCTTGCAGTCATGTTTGCAATCTTTTGACAAGCAAAGTCAATGGGGAAGCCAGGATCACTTAACAACTGCAGTGATTCACTTAACAACCGTGGTAAGGTAAAATGGAGCAAAACTCATAAAATGGAGCAAAACTCATTCAACCAATGTCTCACTCAGCAACATAAATTTTGGGCTCAATTGTGATTGTAAATCAAGGACTACCTGTAGAACGTCCATTTTCCCTCAGTGTTAAGTTTCTGGATTTTTCTTAGAGGGGTACTCTAAAATAGATCTGTAACCAGCATGGATCATTTAATCCTGGTTATCTCTAGTTACGGCTAGGCTTGCAACTGGAATATCGGTCAAAATCATAAAAAGCACTCAATAGGATGGAGAGAGGCCAAAAGAAGATTTGTTCTTCTAAGTGTTGTATAAATACCAGGTCATGCTCCCCATTTGCAACCATGGCATGGAAATGGAAGATATAATTGGTCTACCTTTTAACAGCAGTGCTCTGAATGTAGAATAAATCAAAAGATGATTAAAACATAAGTGATCACTTCTGACATTTCCCTGTAGTATGCTCTGCATTGCCAAACTTATCCACCCAATTTGAGCTTCAGTTTCAATGGATAATCTTTGCCTCATTTCCTCAGTGTCCCATTTGGGATTTAATATCACTGGTAGCAACATTTCTTGTGGTACTGTAGATTTACGCTAGCAAATATATGGGTTGGGATTTTTTCATGCTGGCAAAGATCATCTGTTTTTCCAGCATCTCCTCAGCTAAATGATGACTAGTTTTTTTCAGTTCCCCAAAAATATATTAAAAAGGATGGGACGAACAAGCAAAGTAACAAGGGTGGAAAGGAACTCATTGAAAGCAGCAAAGGGTGGAAGTGGTTCTGAATTCCAACACTGTGTAGGTAATGTATTTTGGTAGCAACAACAGCAATTGTGGAAATCTATAAATTGCATCAAATACTACTCTGACCTAGTTGTCTCAGAAGCTAAATTAGGTTGAATAAAGTTAGCACTTGGATAAGAGACTGGGAAGTTGAAAAAACGTCCTAGAAGGCAAGGGCAAAACAACTTTCATATGCCTGCCAAGACAACTACAGTGGTTTGGTTATCAAGCTACCACAAGCCAAGATTTTCTTGAAGGAGACTCTGCCTTTACTCTTAACCCTTAATTTCCAGAGATATTAGCAGAACCTAGCTAAAATATCCTGCCATATAAAACTGGTCAAGGATAAGATAGTGCGGTGTTTAAACTAGAGAAAGTTCACCTGTGCTTTTCCTTTAAGCCATCTATAACGTGACTGATATCATCACAACTGTTGCAAGATATCCAGATAACTTGTTTTACTTGGATTATATTAAAGTACTGTACACGGATACACCGTGTACTTTAAATACCACACTTCCCTTGCCGAGGGACTTATCTACACCCGGATATAAATACATATATCTTATACGATAGGAGAGCACACCAGGATATAAGTAAACTGTGAAATGAACAAAATACAGTTCGTGGAACTTACCATTTATTACCGAGCCTTAGGAAAAAATGGGTTTCTCTTTTGGCAGAGAACCAATTGTTAAAAGCATAACAGTATAACCAAGATCATTTATTCTCTGCAGTCAGCTTGGCTTTGGTTCTATCACCTCCTTTGTAGATGGATCTGATAGGTTGTGAATTCAAAAGAATTCACATTTCATCACCTGTTTTCACTTGAAGGTCTGGTTGGATGGCTAATCTTTATTTTTTTCTTTCTTCCCATCCTACTCCTTGCCAACAAAGGTTTGTATCTTGCCTAATGAGGTGTGTTGTCAGTGCCAATGAACCACAGTACCCTTTTTATGAACTGTTGACTGAACAGCATCTTTCTGGCCTTCAGGCCATTTTGCAAAGAGCTATATGGTCCTCTTGAATTTAATAAGAAACAAATTATAAACCAGTGCTCCAAAGACATTTTTCACAAATGCCCCCTTAATCTAGACCTTATTCCTTACGACTCTAGCACTTTCAGTAATCTTGCTTCATTTCACTTTTGCCAATACCTGGTCAAACTTATTTCTTCTTGAATGTTTGTTGAACTGAGAGAGTGCTCGCTTTCACATTAGTGGATGGATCTCTTGCTCTTTTCCTGCCATGACCACGAAGGGCCAAAATTTTATTTGTGTTCAACCATCCTATTTTCTCCAATAACTCGGTAAGGTGAGTGGGCTGAGAGAGAGAGTGACTGTCACAAAGTCACCCAATTGGCTTTCATATTCACATGGGACTAGAACTCACAGGGTCCTTGGTTTCTAGCCTGGTGCCTTAACCACTACACCAAATAGCTCATTTAACATCATATTTGGATTTATTTCTGTATCTATTGGTCTATTTCAGCCATCTCATGCCATAGTGGTTAAGTTGTAATTTAAGAGTGGCCAGATCCAACCATGGAGGTTCATGTTGACTGGGATAGCTACTTTTTCTCAACCCAACTTACTTAAGATGTAGGAGGGAACACAATGAATACAATCTTGAGTCCCTGAATGAAAGACAAGCTATACACAAATTCTGTTGGATAATTTTAATTTTGGATTCCAGAGCCTTATTCTCACCTTAGAGATGTATAAAAATTCAGTCTAATACTTCTTCCCTTTCATTCTGTGTGCTTCATTACGTACATATACAGTGTAGTTTGGTGACTTTAAAAAAGCCACATCCAATATTCATGGTATGCATAGTTCTACATTTAAATTTTCCTTCATTGAAGCAGCCTCTTGACTACAGAAATAAAGCCGTTTGTTTTTGTATGCTTGATTTTTAGTTTTGGAGTAAGCACCATTGGTTTTAGAAAAGGATATGTATCCATTTAAAATAAAAAAATAATAACATGACCAGTTCCCATTCTTTATGTATTTTTTAAATATGTTGTAACAAATAGCTTCAACTCGGTTAGGCCCATGCCAGCCAAAATCCTGAAGCTGAGCTTACTTTCCTCTGTCCAGAAGTCTTTATCACTTTAGTGGCACCTGTGATATCGGCTCTCTGGCTTTGTGCTTAAGGTGGCCTCCGTGTAGAGATTGTGAATATTAAATGGGATCTTAGGCGGCGGTTATCCACTTGCCCAATACAGGATACCGCGCACCCTTGCTACTATGGCTGAAGTCTCCTTTTGTCAATCTCTGGTATCGGAAGCCTCCCTCCAGGCAGAATTATTGTCCGAATCCCTGGAAGAACAATGAGTCAAGAATCGCCATTGACGGCAACACAGGCGTTACTGCTTCCTATTTTTTTGTGTGCCAGGGAAGGGCTCAAACCTCAGCAAAAACGGCTGAGGACGAATCCTGCGCGCTTTTCGTCGAAGAAAAATGTTGCTCAAAAGTACCAGACCAACAAATTAGATCCCCCTGATCCCTGCAGAATTTCGATATCTCCCCATTGGCGGGGCGGGGGGAGGGAGGGAAGCAAAGAGAACAAAGAAACTCCCCTCGCTTTCTTGACAGGGATCATTAAACGAAGGCGTTATTTTAACGCAGCCCCCTGTGGTAAAAGCCAGTAAAAGCCTACATTAAACGCCGCCAGGACGCTTCGCCCGGGCGTATCCATTCTCCCCGCAACCTTGCAGCGATTCTGCTTCTGCAGGAGGAAATTCGAGCCGCGCTTCTACTACGGCCCCGGAGTCCCCCGAGAAACAAGAAAAGCGCGCCGCAATCCACGCCCTACGGAGAACCTTTTCCCCTCGTTTGCAAATGGTTGAGCCTTCCCCGATTCATCCTTTTCGACCCGACTTTGGAGATCCGCATTTTGCTCTGCCTCGTCCCGACGTGCTTATGGTTAACTAGCTTTGTTTTCGTTTCCAAAGCCCTTCATTTCTCTTTCGGCTACCCCCCGTTCGGGTTTAAACAAAAAGAACAGGCCTTTCACATCTCCCTCTGTCTCTCCCTCCGGGCTGACAGGACTAAAATTCTGTCCTAATGCTACTTCCTCAATTTGTGTGTGCGTGTCTGTGTGTGGTGTGTGGTGTGTGTTTAGAAAACGACGGCAATGACAACAACGAAGCACGATCGCAACAACGAAGAGAGCCGTTGGCGACTGCAAACAAAGAGAGGCGAGAGCTGCACACGGGTTGGGTGTCATGTTACTTAAGGCGCTGTTTAAAACATTCGATCCCCGCCACCGCCTTCCCATTCCCCACCTCCAAACAGAGCCGTGACGGACAGGCCGTACTACCCAATGGCGAAGCCAGAGGGAGTTTTGGCGCCTGGCCACCCTGGGCCCTTCGCCCAATAGAAAATAGGAGGAGGCGGGACGACGCCCTGGGGAGAATGAAGGCTCTACCAATGGCAGGAGTGTTATTGCAAAGAAATAGTATTATGCTAATCGATGTTTTGCTTGAACTCACTCGGTGAGAGCTTTAAAAAGCCCAGCAGCCCCTGGCAGGCTGGTAGAAGCGGAGTGAGGTGCGGCGGGTGAGAGCGAGTTTGGGGCGCAGTGGGTGGTTCTTCGGGCTAAAGGGCGGCGAAATCCTTGCCCTCCACTTCGACTCTGATTTGGATTTGTAAAGAGGCTCGGAGCCGCTCGGCTTTCTCTTTCTTCGCCACCGCCGGGCGAAGGAACCTGCCCGCTCCTTTATCCATAGTCGCCGCTGCCGCCACCATGTCCAACGTGCACCTCTCTAGCGCCTCGGCTTTGGAGCGCCTGGCGGCTCGCCGGACTTTCCCCTTGCACGCTCGCACCGGGGTGTGCAGGAACCTGTTTGGTCCCGTGGATCACGACGAGCTCAACCGGGAGCTGAAGAGCAAGTTGCGGGAGATCTGCGAAGAGGGCCAGAGGCGCTGGGGCTACGATTTCCAAACCGAGACGCCGCTGGCCGGTTCGGGCAGGCTACAGTGGGAAGAGGTGGACGGAGAATCCGTGCCCGCTTTCTACAGGGAAACGCTACAGGTTGGGAGGTGCCGCTTCCCGGTGCTGACGGTCCGATCGACGCCTCCGCCTGGCGATGGGGAGGCGTCCCTTGAGCCTGAACCCCGAGACCCTCACCAGGAGCTGGCAGGGCTTTCTTCGACCCCGTCCCCGCTTAGCCCGCAGGACAACACGGCCGCCTTGGAAGGCACGACGTCGGCAGGCGACGAACGCCTCAGCCAGGAGGACAAGGCCGACCAGCGCCACAGCTACTCAGGGATTATAATCAAGCCTGTCCCGTGTGTCGCTGCAGCTCTTAAAAGAGCATCGTCAACCGGCGTAGCTCACATCACAGGTAAGAAGGCAGAACAACGGCCGTCGGCTTGCATTGCACTTGCGGCGGCGGCGGCGGCGGCAGAGAAGTTGCATCAGTCTTACCCGCCCGCATTAAAATATTTTCGCCCGCGGCCCCCAACCTCCCCGTTACGGGAAGCTAATCTCCGTGATTCGTCGTCGCCCCCGTTCTCAATCCCCCCCCCCCCCATTATGCGTCCTCTGGAGAGTGCCTAGACGTCGCCCCGAGGCGCTGGCTCTGTTTAAGATTCCGCACAGGTCCCTGGGGCTGGGCTGGGCTGGGCTGGAAAATGCTTACGCAGCACATCGCGCTCTGCAGGCGAGTCCTTCTCGGCTGCCTCCTTTGCGACGTAAACAAACCCTACCAGCTGCAGCGCTCGGCGTTGGCGGACAGGGGGAGCCAAGAGCCCGGTCTAGTCGACGACCATGGAAAGAGCCCAGCAGGGCGGGGTCCCTTGTACCCGAAGCGATTTTGTTTTCTTGTGTTTTTCCCCCCACCCCACCCCCGATGGGTCCTGGTCCTAATGGGTGTGTCTCTTCGAAAGGAAAAGTTTGCCTGCAAGTGCTCCACCCCCACCCAAGCCCGACTAATTTTTCTTCCCTTCCTTTGGGTTCTTAACCCTTCTTTAGATTTCTTCGCCAAGCGGAAAAGAGTCGTAGACAGAGTGGCCGGGGATCATAGCAGCCCGTTGGCAACTTCGGTCACAGCGGTGCCTAACGAGCAGACACCCCGGAAAAGGCTCCGATGAACGAGGTGAGAGCTCGGGCTGGCGCTTTAAAGGTTCCTCCTCTCCCTCCCCCTTCCCCCCCCCCCCCATCCTGGGCCGTTCTCAAAAGTCGGCCTCTTGGGCCCTTTTCCCCAAAGGAGTGGGGAACGCTTTAGCTTTCCACGGGATATGAGAGTAGCGAAGGACAGACACCTCACCTCCTTTAGCAGAGTTTCGCCAGGGGGGATCCATCTGTTAAATTGGATGGAGGACCAGAGGGAAAACCCTTTGCAGAATAAAAAGAGAATGGAAATCTAAATCCTGCCTTTAAAAAAAAAACGATGGAGTAAAATAACAGGAAGCAAGCCTTATAATTTAGGCAGATATGTGCTTCCCCTCCTTCCTTAAGTTTCATGTAGATCTGCAGTGACATTTGGTGAAGTATATAAAAAGGAGAAAAACTGTTTCTTTCCTCCTTAAGAGTCCGCAGTTTTGGTGACTCATTCGTGGCTTTTCTGGGCAAAAAGTGGCCCAGGTTTTATGTTAGCTTGTTCCCCTAAACTGCAAGTATCTGGGACAGTTTTCTGCACATACTTGACTGGTGGTATGATCTTTCTCTTTCAGATTTTGCACTATATAACACCGAAGTGATTGTTTCCTTGGAAACACAAGAACTTGAGAGGCCCTTCCTCTCTCTGTGTGTGTCAAAGGGGCTGGCGAGTGAGACCAGACCAGCGTAAGGAAGAAGAGTCGCCTGTTTGTTTTTTCGCTCCTCCTCTTCTAACTCGTGCCCCGAAGGAACTGCTTGAACCTCCATGTAGCAAAAGTGGCTGACTACAAGTTGCCTGACGAGCAGTGTTAATTTACAACTGTGCAATGTATTATGTTTATATATATATATATATAGATATATAGATATATATATATAAAATGTATTATGCCTAATGTGAGTACACTGGCCAGAAGTGTAAAAGCTTTAAAGTCACCTATATAAAATGTTTAATCTCTGCTGAATTCTCAGTGCAAAACAAAAACAAAACCCCACAAAAAAAGTATAATTTGTAAAAAAAAAATGCAAACAACTTAAAAAGAATTATTATACTAACTTATATTTTCTATTTATGTCAAAGGGTGGATAACTTTGGTTTGACACCCAGTAGTGAGCTTTTGTGTTTTTCCCCAATTTGGTTAAGCCAAAGGGCACTATATATTTGCTTTTTGTTGTTATTTACAAAAATGTAAATTTATTTTTATAGTGGGATTTTGCATTCACAAAATGTAGCGATGAATCAAAATTACATTTAGTTATACTTGAAAGAAACCTGATAATGGTTCCTGAGCTGGTCTGTACCACTGCCATCCCAAACATGCTACAATGTTAAAATAAAAAGGAATCAAGTGTCTGTTAACACTAGTTTCTTGCTTTTACTTTCACTTTTAGGCAGAACATTGTACAAATGCGCATGCACCCTTTTTTTGTTTTTTAAAATCCCCTCTAAATGCTGCTAATAATGTATAGGTCTAATGACCACAACTGGGACAGGTAACTTGGTTGTACTTGTTCCTTAAATTAGCCTTTCCCTGTGTATATCCTTTGAAAAGTAATGGGCTGTCTATAGAGATTTCTATCTAGAAATCTTAATTATTTGGATGGTGTCTGGCAGTAAGGTAGGTGACTGGGGAACACTAAAAAATAGGGGTAGGAATGTATAGGAGCAACGAAAAATGTATGTTAATTTCGACAGTAATACTCAGATTCCATGGAAACTACTTTCACAACTAGACTATTCATAAGTGGATATTGAACAATTTAAATCTGTGTATGCAGCTATACCATGTAACATACCCTTCTCAGAGGGGGAAGTCATTTTTGGACATTTGTTGAACATTAACCTAAAGTTACAAGTAGTCCACAACATACTTCATTTAATGACTCTTCAAAGTTATGACAATGCTGAAAACTTGACTTCTGACCAGTCCTTGCACTTAAAAACGACCCATCCTGAAATGGCCACATGATCAAAATTAGGACTCAAGATAGCCAAAGTGTATTTACAATGATTGCACCCTGGGAACACATTATTGTCACTTGCAACTGTCCCAGGTGAGCTTCCAACAATCAAAGCCAGTGGGGGCAGCTGGATTTGATTAACCACAACCAAAAGGTGGTAAATTCAGCCCAACTAATTTAATGACTCATTTGCTTAGCAAAGTTCCAATCATGGTTAGAAGGTAAGGAATAGACTTTCATTAAGTAATTGCTGTGGGGTGGGGTGGGGTGTTGGACTAGATCTACAAGGTCCCTTCCAACTCTGATAATTTGTAATGAAGACATTACAATGAGACATAAATACTCTGCAATACCAGAACAGCCTTTGTAGTATTAGAAAAACCTTCGGTGTTTCATATTGGAAATGTTAAATCTTTTTACCACCATTTTTTGCTTACCAAGAGCCATATGAGAAGTAATATCCCACATTTGCTTTATACAATTGACAAAAAGTAAAATGTGATCCTATCAGGTACTGCAATATTTCTTAAAGGTAAAGGTTCCCCATGCACATACTAGTTGCTTCTGGCTCTAGAGGGTTGGTGCTCATCTCCATTACAAAGCCAGAGAGCCAGTGCTGTCCAAGATGTCTCCGTGGTCATGTGGCCGGCATGACTAAATGCCAAAGGCGTATGGAACACAAGTACCTTCCCACCAAAGTGGTCCCTATTTTTCTGCTTGCATTTTTACATGCTTTTGAGCTGCTAGGTTGGCAGAAGCTGGGACAAGTAACTGGGAGCTCACTGTTATGTGGCGCTAGGGATTTAAACTGCCAAACTGCCGACCTTTCTGATCAACAAGTTCAGCGTCTTAACCACTGAGCCACTGCATCTGCAATATTCCTTACCAGTTATTTAAAAAATGCAAATATAATTGAGTTAAATTGCTTCCTAGTAAGTACATCATAGTAAGCATGACCTGAAAAACTGAAGCATCTTTTTAAGATTCACATAAATATTTACAAATAAGTTCCATTAGCATTGGGCTAGATCTAATGTAGTATATCTGACTAGGCTTAATCCACAATCTTTGGGTTAAATTATGTAAATGTTATGTAAAATAGAGAAGAGACCATTGCATCATACCTGCCCACCTGTTCACATAAGATATAGACCAGTATCACGGGAAGTTTCTCTTGGCATCTATGGAGTAGTAATTGCAAGAGATTGAAGGGCCATTAAGAGTCTAGCTGTAGAAAATAGTTAAAAAGTTGGCAACATCTTGGTAGTCTCTTGGCTCCATATGCACAATTAATTTCAGTAATACTGACTTCTAGTTCTGAGTATTTGCAGTTTGAGGTACAAAGCTTCATGGGGTTAATTTTGTTCAGCTGCCAAAGGCATAGCATGACTGTAGCTATCCCATTTCTTTGAGGAACAGTTGAAAGATAAAATGAAAGCCACGGTCCTGTGCTGAAAGAGTCTATTCATTGTTTTATCTTTTCCACATCTTGAAAAGGTAGATGGCTGTGTATGCCTACAAATGCCACCTCTTTCAACAGAAGGCCCACCTTAAAGAAGGAAGGAGGATAGGACACTTTTCTAAACATTTGTGGTTCATGCCTTTGTGTGGGACTTAATAGAATCTGTCTGCTGGAAAAATGGTCTCTGCTGCCAAAATAAACTCTCCTGTCCTGTAGTTTGTGCCTAGAACCACCAGATCTAGGCTGCAAAAATCTGCACAGCCATCAGACGGTAGTGAAGTACAAAACTCCTATGTCTTTTGCCATTTGCCATTTAGTGGCTTTCCAAACTTTTGCAGACTGGATGTTGCAACCCTACAAATGCCTCCAAATGTCCAAGAAATTAGGGGATTGTCCAGATCTAATTCAGAAGATGCAAGGGAGGAAAGAAGGAAGGAAGTTGCATGGGGAAATGGAATTCATTTAAATAGCGGTAGATACTTTAAACACAAATATATAGGAATGGGAGATGAGTCTGAAAAAATAGTTTATTTATCAAGTACAATGACTGGGTTTGTACAACCAACTACCATAATTCAAACCTCATTTTACCTGAGCACAACAGATGAACCTCAAAATGGGTGGAAACTTCTATTTTTCACTGGTGGGAACATTTCTGAGTGGAGTTCTGCCATCTTCAGACTAGATTTATGAGAAGTAGAGAAAATTGCAGGGAAAAGGAGAAATCTGGAATTGTAGCTCTTCTTTTCAACCAGTGGAAAAGTTTCACTGATGAAAAAATCCATTCCCTCCAGAGCAGTCTTTTGTTGGAATCACTTAATGTATTTGTAAACATGACATTCTTGCTTATTGTTAACTTAGTCAGTTTTTTTTTACTCATGGTTCAGATTCATATGACACACTGAACTATAAATGAATTCTGGGTATGCACAGTATTGTAGTCTTAACCCAAATCAGTCCAATTATCAGACTTGAAATACATCCACTGGAGTCCCTTAAGTCTGAATCCAGTCTAATATTCATTTAACAAACATGTTTTCACTTTGACTGTATCATAGGAGCTCACAGACCTATAGAGCTATAATGGGCTGCATATTGCTCTTCATTTGTAACCCCAAATATGTATTTGCCTGCTACACAAATGGGCAGTACCCATATGAAGTTTAGAACTTTGGGGTAAAGGGAGAAAAACTCATGTTTTGCCACAACGAACTCAGAAAATTGACTTCGGTGAATGGCAGTCATTTCCCATGCATGAATGTGATAGTTCCTCGCTTACTTGATTGGGTTAGGGACAGGGTTAACATGTCATGTGAACTCAAAAATCAGGTTAGTATTGAGATTGTGGAAATTTTTTAACTCAGATCATGTATGTTTGAATTAACCTCCCCCAGTCACCTGCCTTATCCAAGAGAAGTCAACCTAATGTTTTCTTTCAGCTATCAGATAGAGTGGAAAGCCTAGTATGCCTTATCAAGAGCTACACTTCTTTTACATTTTATTTTCACTGCCCTTCATGGGTAGTCATGTAGGTGAAGAGGCAGAAACAGGATGATGGCTCTAAGCCAGATCTGCTATCACAGTTTTTTTTTAAACAGCTTTTTAAAAAGACAGCGTTAGTCTGAGTAAAGGAGGATAATACAGAAGCCCAAATATTCAGCATAACTTTAAGCTTGTCTGATCACTTATTTGCTAGAGTACAATGGTAACACAGTTGGTTAGCTATATTGTGCAAACACAATTACTGTATTCTCCATGTATAAAACAAGCTATTATGCATGAGAAGTGCAGGGAAAATGCCAAGTTAGATGTGTCAAATGAAACAAGTTTTGTAATATAGATATACATTTGATAAGACAAACCAGTTATCTTAAGAGTATAAATGCTCATAGATTCTAGAGTCCACTTTGTCAGATGAAAAGCAGAATACAAAATTTTAAGGATGAGCAATTTATCTCAGATACATACACACATACATATACACACCTATATTCTTTGGCATGGAATATAAAATTGTTTTGCTCATAACACTTTACTTGTTTCCTGAATTTCATCAGCCTGCATTGTGTATAAAAATTTGTGATAAAATCTCTGATGATTCTTGATAACTAGACATACATACAGGTATGTATTGATTTTAGTGACATAAGTACAGAAGTGGTTTGCTACTGCCTTCTATCAACATATTTTTTTCAACGTTCCAATTTAGTCCATAGTCCTGGGATTTTCTAGTGGTCTTTCATCCATATACTAATGAGCTCCAATCCTGCATGTGTACACGCGCACACATAGGAGCATAGATAGATAGATAGATAGATAGATAGATAGTCCCTGACTTACAGTCATAATTGAACTCAAAATGTTTGTTGCTAAGCAAGACAGTTAAGTTAGTTGCATCCCATTTTATAATCTTTTTGCCACAGTTATTAAATGAATCACTACAGTTGATAAGTGAATCATGTGGTCATTAAATGAATCTGGCTTCCCCCATTGACTTGGCTTGTTGGAAGCCAACTGAGAAGGTTATAAATGGTAATCACATGACCCCAGGACAATGCAGCTACATGCCAGTTCCTAAATGCCCAAATTTTGATCACATGAACATGCTAAAATGATCATAAGTGTGAAAACTGGTTGTTACGTCACTTTTTCAGTACCATTGTAATTTCAAACAGTCACTAAATGAATACTTGTAGTCAGGGGTGGGATTCAACCGGCGTTACTACTGGTTCGGTGATTATGTTTTGTGCATGCATGCACGCTTCGCGTGTCCGACCCGCATTGTGTGCGCATGTAAAATAACCTTAGGCTGTGCTGCCCAGACAGCTGAAAAGCGCTGCACGCAGGTGCACGGCATTCAAAAAGCCTCTTTTTCCCTGCTTTTTCAACCTCAGCTGTGCCGCACAAAGCAGCTGAGGTTGAAAAAGCAGGAAATA